ATGTTCCATTTGAATATTCAAAGTTCTTGTACAATGTGTTTTGCATGAAACATCAACTTATGGGACTGATAAAGTTGATCGTGGCCATACCTGCATGCTAAAGCTACTGTAGATCCTGCCAGACCTGCTGAAGCTGTGTAGTGCAGGGTCTGGTTAGAACTGTGATGGAGAACTGGGGATGGAACTGGGGAGACCACAGTGGGGCGGCTGTGGCTGTAATGTGCCAAACTGTGGTTGTGTCCTTAGGCAAGACACTTCACCCCCATTAGAATGAGTCTGGTGTGTGTGTGATTGGTTGGTGATGGCACAGACTGGTTGCCTCGCTTCTGTCAGTGTGCCCCAGGGCAGCTGTGGCTACATCAGTAGTTTATCACCTCTGTGTATGAAGTGAATGAATAATGACATGTGAAGCTTCTTTGAGTGTCCTGAAAAGCGCTGTTTAAAACCAATGCATTATTATTATTATCAAAACAGACATCCTCGCTCTCTCACATAAATGTTTTGTAGAAATCCAAATCCTATCTTCACAAAGTACACTAATTAAACGTACGTTGACGTTTTTGTTGGACTAGCTTGAATTGCATAAACGCCGCTGTATTAAACAGGATGTGCCAAAATGCGATCTTGGCCTCCAAATGGGATCCATATGAAGATTATATTGTTCCCCATCTGTTAGCAGTTCATGTTGAATTATTGGCTACATGGTGTGTTTGGGGTGAGTTCACTTGTCTGCGCGGCGCTCTCGTTAGCATCCCGGACTGCAGTGAGCCGCCGTGGTTTACACAGGGATTTGTGAGGGTGAGATAGACTGTCACCTGCACAAAGCCGGGCTGAGAGAAGCCAGGCTTTGGGATTAACTTCTGGATTATGAACTATGCACTGCTGCGCTAAAACGGTACTTATTCGGCACAGAGGAGTCGGGTTTCAGCAGATGTGGAGCTTCCAGTCGGAGTGGAATCTTTTACAACGGACCAGTGGTGATAGATGACTTAATGTGTGTAAAAGCGATATAAGGACTTCATGTTCCCATAAACAGTGTGCTAACTCTTTATTTCATTTGATAAGTAAACAAGTCTTTATTCTCAGATGAAGAAGGAACTGTTTTATCACTAAGCTTGCATTTTGAATTTCCTTGTAAATTACTGTCACTTAAAGCTGAGGTACACAACTTTCTTTTGCATAAATTATACCATTATTGTACACAATATTTCCTGCACTGACTGTGTTTTTAATCTTTAACATGTTGCACACTTCTGTCTTGCACGATCTGAGAGATTCTCTGCCAAATGAGACATGCACATTTCTCCAGTGTGAGATCAATAAAGTATAACTTATCTTATATACAGTATGTAGTTTATCTTGAAACATTTTGTGAACAAATTAGACCACAGCCTGCGGTCTTTATTGTATTAGAAAACATGTAAGAAAGAGACGTGCTGGGAGCTGATTGGCTGATTGCAGGTGGTCCTCTCTTTTTCACTCTTTTGTCTGAAAAAGCTGATCTTAAAGGTATATAGGAGGATATTCCCAATTTTTCGGAAAGAACCGCCCTCTCACGTATCACCAGAATGATTGGCAACTGGGAGGACCAATAGTCTTGATGATCCACCCGGAAGTAGAAAATCCACCTATAAACCTTAAAGATGGGACAGGGACCAAAAATACATGAATGTGAAAACTAGTGATGGAACCAAACTGTTTTAGAAACAGGAACTTTAGGAACTCGGTAAATGGATTATATTTCTCAACTCATTATGTGGCTTGAAAAATTATGTACCCTTGCTTTAAAATCCAAGTTGTTGTCGTTCCCACAAGCTTGCATCACATTCACAGCTTCATAAAACATTTTCAGACGAGTCCAACAAGTCCTCATTCCTCCATAATGACAGTGTAACGTCACAGTCAGTTAGTCTTCTAGGTTTATATAAATAAATATCTTTCTAAGCAGATGACAAATACCTTATTATGACTTTGGCTTTAAAAACATTATCTATCATTTGTACAAAAACTGCAATTTATGTCGCATAGACTTGCATGTGAATAACAATTTCAGTTTATTTGCAAAAACAGATATCTCCTCTTTGTAAATGTGTCCAAAAGTTGTATTTTTCTAGTTACTATTCTCAAAATAATGTGGCTGATTAATACTATTATTAGCTTATTATAATGATCAATTTCCTTTTTGCTGTTTCTGGACACCTGAATTTATCCTACAGGGAACAATAAAGTATCTACAGTATCTATCTATCTATCTATTTAAAATAGTAACAAAATGGCAGTAAATTTGAAAGAATTGGCTCAAGCAGGGGTGATATTTTAGTTTCTATGGAATTACAATATATCTGGAATTTCACAACATTACTTGGTTAAGAGAGATTGTAAACCTTTCTGAAATTTGTCTTATGTCCCTTACCTATAATTGCTAAAGAACTATTCATTTTCTATAGATTATAATTTATTCAGGGGTACCACACAGAGAGTGGTCACTATGGATTTATCCATAAAGTTATTTTGAATACACAGAATACAGATGATCTACTGCGTTTACAGCCCATTTAATCCTCAGACTCCAACCACCAGAAACCCTCATTTCCTCACGCCCGCCCTCTTGGTACAAATGAGCCAATCACAACGCAGCTTCGGGACCATGTGACTCCTCCTTTGGTTCATCTCACAAACTTTGTAACATTGCTTTTTCTGACTTTTCGAAGTGTTCTTTTGAACCTGCTGCACATGAACATTCTCCATCACCGGCTCTAATCAATATAATTATGACAAAATGGATTATTTCATGTAATTGTGGAGTGAGTCAACCTGTAATAATTGCATTCAGCCCCGTGATGAATTATGCCTAATTTCTTTGGATAATTACTCTACAAATGCTTCCACTTACGGGCGATGGAGAGCCAAAAATGGATCGGTGATTATCAAAAGAGCCGCTTGTTCTTCCATTTCACTTTCATTATGGGTTTAAGACTAAAAATACCTCCTCACTCTTTACAGAAGCTGGTTTTTTGCACTGCCCGACAACACCAGTGGTAAAAATCGGGCCTGTACTTGTCTGATGTGTGTGTGTGTGTGTGTGTGTTTTGTGTTGCATCTAAAGGGTGTGATTGAGGGTAAGCTGTGGGTCCCTGCGTTCCAAAAGCCCCCGTTTTGCCTTCGCCGCCTCCGAGCGTTCCTCTGTCATAAGATCATCGAGAAAAGACGTTTTCAAGAGGTGCGGTGTCAGCTGCGTACGCACACCTATTCTGACAGTGTGTGTGTGTATATGTGTGTGTAGTAGTAGTTTTGTGGTGGAAACGATACCACTATTTTGCTAAATGGGCTTTATTTGTGGACCAGATTAGTATAACTATATCTACATGGATTTTTGTTTTTATACAGAAAAATATAGGGACATGATGGCTTCATGTATTATTAGTATTATTAGTTTAAAGCAGACAATTTTTTGTTTTTCAATTCTCATTCATAAGGTGAAAATCCACTGGAGGAATGCTAACTGTTGGAAAAATGCTAAGTGCTGGAGTATTGACTGCAGCATTTTACTTTGGACCAGAGCAGAGAAAATGGTCCGAACCAAGCGGCTCCACCTCTGCTGCTGTGACCTGAAGGACTGTCGTATTTTAATATCATTGTTGCTATTTTTAGATTCATCAATTTATTTGTTTTGTTTGTTTGGATGGATGTGTTTTTGCTGCTACTGGACACCTGTATTTCTCCGACATGGATCAATAAAGAATCTATCTTGGAACCTGCAGCATTGATCTTAAGAGGTCATGGCTTCCTTGGTGTAATACATCATTTTAAAGCTAATGTTCTTTGGAATGAATTTAATTATTGTGGTTTTTCCAACGACAGTCTGCAACACTCCAATGTCCAGGACCGGTTCAACTGAAACATTTTGTTCTGAAATGTCAACCAGAAAATTATAAGATGATAAAAGCTTGGATCAAGTGTTTTTATTTTATTTTGAGTATATTCTGACTTTCTTAAAACAAGATGTTCCAATGGGAAAAGCCGTTTGGTCTTAATTTATTTCTCATTCCAAGGTAGACATATCTTTAATTTTCTTGTATCTTTTGTCCCAATGGCAAATCTTGTTTTTAGACAGTTAAAATCTGCTTAAATTGAGATAAAAAACACTTGATTTAAGCATGTATTTTCTTTCTTTCTTTATTTGTTTGCAGTGAATATAATCCTATATTTTGAAGTGTAGCCAACATTTTTTGTCTTTTACCAAAATGACATTGATAAAAACAATTCGATCGAACAGGTATAAATCAGACAAATGTTATCCCCATTTTGTTTTGAACTTTTTAGTGAAGTTGATGCATGATTTTTAAAGTACATTTAGTACAGTCAACATTTCCTGGGATGAAACAAGGACAAAAGTAATTTATCAAACTTCAAGCGGGTTTGGAGTCAGTCGGGTTTATTTCCACGTCAGCGTCAACCTCCAGCAGGAAGATTTTTATCAAACTCACTTCAAAGTTTTCAATGTTTTGATCACGGTGTTTTCTTTTCTTCTCAATCATCACTATTTCTCAGTCGATCAGAAAAACAACAATGTTTCAAACACGCTTAAAACCGGGGGGAGTGAAGACTTGGTCTGGTTCTTTGGTGGTCCACAGCGGGTCTCTGCATCTCCAAGTAAAAGGAGGAGGGGGTTGCACCACCAGAGTCCCACAATTCATCAAGCTCTGGCAGCATTGGGGGGTGGGGGGGTGTATCTGTGCTGGGGGCAGGAGGGGGGGGGGGTCTGCGGATTGATGGCCACGGAGCCTCGCTGACCTCCCCTAAACGCTCATCCCCGAGAGATCCGTTAACGCCGTCTCTTCACACGTCCAAGAACTCTGAGATCTTGATTTTTCTTTTTGTTTTATTTTTGTATTTGTCTTTGTGCACACTGGGGACTCTTGCGCAAGTATTCCAATGGGGTTTTACTGCAAACGGCAAATACTGTACATGAATCTGAATCTGATCGTCTCTGTGTCCAGGACTTCCTGCAGGGAGACAGCACCAAAGCCTACGAGAGATTCGGTTGGAAGCCGCGGGTCACATTTGAGGTGGGTTTGTGATCCTGCTGTGACCTTTTTGAAAATATGGAGTTTTTTTTCTCTGATAAAACATTTGTCCTTGAAATGTGCATTTACCGCGTTTTAAAAGTAAGTGTGTAGAAATCAAACCACTCCTGAGTTTTTCTTAAAGTCATAACTGTTTGTTTGTTTGTTTGTTTTGGTCTCGTCTGTCTGTATGTTTTTAAATTGGACCTAGAGTCTGTAATGAAGTTGAATTGAATGAATTTTTAAAACCCTTTTAGAAAAAAACCCACAAAACATCAACAAGTTTACATCCAACCTGTTTTATTTTTTTTCAGAAATAGTAATTCATTTTTAAAAACATGATTAAACACGAGTGAAGAATTCTAGTATTATAAGACAAGTTTTTTTCTTATTTAATTGAGAATATTAGGTTCTGTTGCGAATGGAAGTTGGAAGCAAAATTCAGCAACTGTGCAAAATAAGGCCATAAAGATTTCAATCCAAGGTCAAAATATTCTGAAATTGAGATATTTTCTTTTTTATTAAAACTTTCTTGTCTTTGTATGCAGATGTTTTTATTTTTTTTTATAAATAATTTCTGATTTGCTTATTTGCTAATCAGACAAAAATTGCATTTCAATTCAAATTTGAGTTAATCCTCAGATATTCCTTCTCTGATCATAGTGTTGTGTGGTTCTGAAATTCCCAAGATGCAAAACTTATTAAAATGAGTGCATTTAGATGATCACACTGCAAAAAATGATCAAATATGAGGAAATAAATGCTTGAATCTAGAGGTTTTTGTCTTAATCTGACACATTCTGACTGCTCAAACAAGATTCTCCAATGGGACAAAGTCTTTTAGTTTTATTTCAAGATAGGTTGCTTTATTCTCTCATTTCTAAGAGATATATTTATTCTATTTCTTCAAAACAAGATGATTTTGCTTTGTCCCATTGGTGAATCTTGTTTTAAGGCTCAGTCACAATGTGCTCAGATTAAGACACATTTTGCCAAATTTGAGCAATATTTACTCTTTACTTATTTTTCATCATTTTTTGCAGTGTAGGGACCATGAACACTTGATAAAAAACATGTTATATGTTCCCAGTTTGTAACGTCTGTTTTTGGCAGTATATAAACCTGTCGCCTTCACCTCAAAGTGGGGCCTTCTGTTCAAGCATCAACACTTCAATAATAATAATCAATAATTAAAATAACGTTAGGAAAATAAAACGACTATAATAACTCATTTACCTCCTACGTATAGACTTTTCTCACGTATAGACTTCCATGGTTTTATTCAGTTACAATTTCTTCTGTATTCATTCTTCTTTGTGAAAACTGAGAGAATTATTTATTTCTTTAAATACAGGAATACAGTAGAATAGAATAGTAGAAAACACAATAAATCACTTACCCCTGAAAAAAAACCAATAAATAATTTTAATTTTCAGAGTATAAGTCACACGAGCTGAAAATACATAATAAAGAAGGGTAAAAACATAAGTATAAGTCGCATTTATGGGTGAAATGTAATTAATAATTTGATCTTGAGGCTGTTTAGAATAAAAACAGACTAGAGAACAACAGACTATAAGTGTACGTTTCTACATGACGCATAAACAACGAACTGAGGCCGTTCCTGGTTCGTTAACGTCACATATTTCAGTAAGAATCAAATAACTTTAACATAAACAACATGCTACAAGTTCACCACAGAGTCAGTGTCGCTCCTAAATCACTAAATCTTCTTCGTCTGTGTCACTTCTGAACAACTCTGCCAACTCCAAAGGTAAACACAATAAAAAATGCCACATAAGCCGCCGCTGCCGCCGACAAACTAGGACAAAGTCGTCTGAATTATAATCCAAAAAATACAGAATTAGTTTTGTCTCATGCAAATACAAACTGCCACTTCTAATTTTAAATGTTACGACTGAAGGAAAATTATACATATTTATTTATATATTTATTTATGGAATCGTATGGAACGCTGGTTTAAAACGTTGCCATAATAATTATAATTTCAAACAATTATTTAAAAAAACAGTTATTTTGTAGATATCCAACAGAAGCATTGTAATATTTATACTCAGCTTTGATCATTTTCTTGTGTCGTTAAGTTAAAGGGAAGTTATATTGATAAGTAGAAAAGGGGGCGGGGTTACATCAGTATTGTTCTTTTTCCTGCTTCCTTTCAGACATGATTGTGTATTTTGTATATCCCTTGAGAGAACTAATTGGACACACATTGTACACGTATACACTGTAAACCCTAACTTCAATCTTACTTCAGATATCAAAGTTATTTCATTGTTTTATTTAAAGCTTGGCTCTATCACTCAGAGCCTTCTTTGAGTTGAGCTGTCTGTTCAAGTAAGCAACACTTTTGATATTTTGAACGTATTTTGTAGAGTGTTCAAAATGTTAGGTATCTATTAAGCACTGTCGGCACTGTCGCTTCTAGGCAAAAATGTTCTGAGTTCGAATCCCACTCGGAGCAGGGCCTTTCTGATCTATGTATATCTTGAAATAACTGTCAAACTTTACTGCTACCAATTGAGTTCACTTGGCAAAAAAGTGTGCAATTTATTTCCAAGGTTTTCAGGGTTTACAGTGTAGGTTTTTTGTTTGTTTTTTGGTTGTATTTATTTGTATTATTTTGTATTGTCCGAAAAAAGACTCATTCATTCATTTATATGTTGTGTCGTTCAGGCCCTGGTGAAGGAGATGGTTGAGTCTGACATGGAGCTGATGAAAAACAACCCGAACGCCTGATCTCCGGCAGCGGCACCTTCGACACTCCACACTTTCACTTTTACTGCGACTTTTACAAATGAAGTATATTTATGTCTGTGCCATCGTAGATCTCTCCTGTCCATCTGGGTTTTGTGGTTTTACATTTATACATATGGCTCCTTAAATATTTGATTTTTAATGTATTTGTTTTTCCTGTTGCTTTCGGCCTTTGTGCCTCCATTCCATTTAGTGAGAGCTGTTATAAAAGCACTGTCAATGAAATGAAGGTTTTACAGTTTCATACGAATAAATGCCTTTTTTGCCACTGAAAATCTATGTCCTATGACAGAGTGTCTCTGTGTCTCTGTCTCTCAGTCTCTGTCTCGGTTTCTGTCTCAGTCTCTGTACTCTCTGTCTCTCAGTTTTTGTCCTCTCTGTCTCTGTCTCTGTCCTCTCTGTCTCAGTCTCTGTACTCTCTGTCTCTGTCTCTATACTCTCTGTCTCAGTCTCTATACTCTCTGTCTCAGTCTCTATACTCTCTGTCTCAGTCTCTATACTCTCTGTCTCTGTCTCTACTCTCTGTCTCAGTCTCTGTACTCTCTGTCTCAGTCTCTATACTCTCTGTCTCAGTCTCTATACTCTCTGTCTCAGTCTCTATACTCTCTGTCTCTGTCTCTACTCTCTGTCTCAGTCTCTGTACTCTCTGTCTCTGTCTCTATACTCTCTGTCTCAGTCTCTATACTCTCTGTCTCAGTCTCTATACTCTCTGTCTCAGTCTCTGTACTCTGTCTCTGTACTCTCTGTCTCAGTCTCTGTACTCTCTGTCTCTATCTCTACTCTCTGTCTCTATCTCTACTCTCTGTCTCAGTCTCTGTCTCTATCTCTACTCTCTGTCTCAGTCTCTGTCCTCTCTGTCTCAGTCTCTGTACTCTCTGTCTCTGTCTCTATACTCTCTGTCTCAGTCTCTATACTCTCTGTCTCAGTCTCTATACTCTCTGTCTCTGTCTCTATACTCTCTGTCTCTGTCTCTATACTCTCTGTCTCAGTCTCTATACTCTCTGTCTCAGTCTCTACTCTCTGTCTCAGTCTCTGTACTCTCTGTCTCAGTCTCTATACTCTCTGTCTCAGTCTCTATACTCTGTCTCAGTCTCTATACTCTCTGTCTCAGTCTCTATACTCTCTGTCTCAGTCTCTATACTCTCTGTCTCAGTCTCTGTACTCTCTGTCTCAGTCTCTGTACTCTCTGTCTCTATCGCTACTCTCTGTCTCAGTCTCTGTCTCTATCTCTACTCTCTGTCTCAGTCTCTATCTCTACTCTCTGTCTCAGTCTCTGTTCTCTCTGTCTCAGTCTCTGTTCTCTCTCCCTCTCTCTCAGTCTCTGTTCTCTCCCTCTCTCTCTCTCAGTCTCTGTACTCTCTGTCTCAGTCTCTGTTCTCTCTCCCTCTCTCTCAGTCTCTGTACTCTCTGTCTCTGTCTCTTGCTGTTTTTTTTCTGCAGAAGTTTCGAGATTTGACAAATACTTTTAACAGTGATTTGGCTTCAGTCGAGTCTGTAGATTGTAGCACATAATAAAAACTATACAAACATATATGAAGTCACCAATTTTGAATTCGGTTAAAAACGGAAAAAAAACGAGGGGAGTTAACCCTTTTGGCGCAAGAGGTTTTCTTTTAGATTTTGACACCCTAATTTCATAATAACTTAAAAGTGAAAAGAGATAGAGGCTGTGCGTAAATTGCAGACATTTTAAGGATGGCCCAAAGTTTATGCCGGAGTTAAATACACCCATATCATTTGCATATTATGACTACATATGGTGGTTGCAATCGTGGATTTTCATTAAATATATGGGTTTTTTTTACAGACAGACACAGATGACTAGGACATGAACACACAAACAGAACTCACACTGTACTATACTTAAGAGTCTGGGAAATAGTAATACTCTAAACACCCTTCTTGACACAATCAGCCTTTTTAAACAGTAAACATGGCGCCTACAGGGTTAAAATGTGAAAATTGTAGTTTGGCAAATGTTTATGTTGGAGAAAAAAAGAGGGAAAGAAGAAATCTCACTGTCTTGTAATTAGTTTTTGTTCAGATTGTTCTAAAATAGCCTCCAATCCCTCATGTGACATCACCCCACAGCACCAGTGACACTTTCAGCAGCTTTATCTGGATGTTCTGTTTCTCATGCTCCTTTGAAAACCTTTGGAGAGAGCAGCAGTATGTATGTGTATGTGTGTGTGTGTTTGTGTATGTGTGTGTGCACTTGTTTTCAACTCATGGTGGGTTCCATAACCTGAGATTCCACTCACGTCATGGGGACTGGTTTTACGTGGTGGGGCCCGAACACCGGACCCCACTGGTCCAAGCTTAATAATCAATGGGTAATGCTTTTCTAACGGTCCTTATGCAGTCTCTGTAAAAATATGGAAAGGACCCCTGGAGGTTTACTTTCCTGAAAAAAGTGTGTTATGTGTCGGAACCCTGGTGGTGGGTTGCGGGATATCAAGGAGGGGCACACTGGGGCAATTTCAGTCCAGCAGGCTGGAGCCAATCATGGAGCAGCACAACAGAGGAAATCAGGTGTCAGGCTAGAAAAAGGTGCAAGTGTGTGGTTCATTAGGCTGCAAGAAATCATGGAGGAGCACACTGAAGCGCACGCTTACAAACCACTGGTAAGTGCTGACTACAAGTCATGACTTCAAATTGTTATATAGAATGATTACAAATTATTTGTTGTTTGTGCAGCTTAGTCAAGAGTCCCTAATTGATGAAGTCGACTCAGATTCTGACGATTTAACTGTCAAGAAGAAACCTGTAAAAAAGTATGGAAAAAGAAAAATCAAAAACACTTTTCTTCAAGACTCGGAAAGTGACGAACCAAAGGCAAATAAGATTGTTATCATGCAGCTGCAAAAGAAGAAAAATGGGGGGCGAGTTTACAGCAAGAGACACTTCTGCCTCTACTGTTCAATGTCCTGCCACAAAATGTCCCGTCATTTGACTAGAAAACATGGAAAAGAAAGTGACGTAGCCAGAGCATTGGCTCTACCTGTGAAATCTAAAGCACGTAAACTTCAGTTTGATTTGATCAGGAATAGTGGAAACCGTGAGCACAATTTTGAGGTTTTAAAGGCCGGCATTGGAACTTTAGTCCCAGCTAAACAGCCAAATTCCCCAGTTAAATCCAGTGAGTTTTTGCACTGTATAGACTGTGGGGCATTGCTTAAGCGAAAGTCGCTGTGGAGGCATGTGGCCAGGTGCCGGCTTTCACAGAAAGATGCCCAGGCTAAACCAGGTAGAAGTAGGGTCCAGTCCCTCTGCTCCCTAGCCCAGCCTGTACCGGAGGGCATCAGCAAAAAGCTGTGGTCTTTAATTTCGGCAATGCATCAGGATGAGGTCACGGGTGTTGTCAAAGCAGAAAAGGGGATTCTGAGACTCGGAGAGCACCTGTACTTAAAACACGGGCATGATAAGACTAAGCATGATTACATTAGGCAGAAAATGAGAGAAGTCGGTAGGTTAATTAACGAAGCAAAAACCGCAGGGAAACTGAAAACAATTAAGGATTTCTTTATTCCTTCCAACTTTAACCATGTGATTGATGCAGTCAGGTCTGTGGCTGGATATGATGAGGAAACAAATCAATACAAGACTCCATCCTTGGCCCTCAAACTCGGCCATAGCCTCAGAAAGCTAGCAGATATTCTTGAATGTGACTCAAAAATGGAGCATTGTGTTGATGAACTATTTATTAAAAACCTCCAACGAAGCCGGCTGCTTTTTGAGAAGAGGTGGGACGTCTGTGTTTCTTCTGCTGCCCTACAGACCCTCCGGCAAGCCAAGTGGAACACTCCGGACCTGCTCCCTCTGACTGAGGACGTTAGAGCCATGCATGCACATATTGAGGTATGTCGACCTGAATATGTGCAAACCCTAATAAGTGAGCCAACGTCTAAGCATTGGTCTAAACTGGCAGTTTTGACTCTTTGTGAGGTCATCATTTTCAATCGAAGAAGGGAAGGTGAGGTTTCAAAGATGCCACTGACAGCCTTTACCTTAAGAAGTAAGACTGGGAATCCATTCTGACATTGCTCTGGGACTGTCCCAACTTGAGAAAAAGCTGTGTCAGCATTTTCAACGCATTGAAATTAAAGGGAAAAGAAGTCGGAAAGTGCCGGTTCTTTTGACTCCTGAAATGATTGCTTCGATGGAGGTGCTGGTGGAGAACAGAAGGGCCTGTTCCATCTCTGACCATAACCCATACTTCTTTTCCCGCCCGGGCGCAGACACCCACATCAGGGGATCAGACTCCCTACGCCAGGTAGCCAAAGAATGTGGTGCGGTGCATCCAGAGATGCTATCCTCAACCAAACTTAGAAAGCACATAGCTACTATGTCTACAGTTCTCAATATGAAAGAGAATGAGATGGACATACTTGCCAACTTCCTCGGCCATGACATTCGCATCCACAGGCAATATTACAGACTACCAGAGGGGACACTGGAGCTGGCCAAAATCAGCAAAGTGTTGATGGCCATGGAGCAGGGAAGAGTGACGGAATTCGAAGGAAAGAGCCTCGACCAGATACAAATTGAGCCTGAAGGTAATTCTTGATATTATTAAAATATGTATGATTTTTTTCCCCTAAAGGCCACTTGTATTTTTATTTTCTGTGCGACAGGGAGAGCAGTAGAGATCCTCTCACAAACGGACGGGCTAAAAGAAACTTCAAGCGGAAGAACCTTCAACCATTCATCCAGATGCACCCCATGGTAGTGGCAGTGCCCCTTCTGGTAAGTGTACCAGGTGGGGGATTACAGCCAGGCTGCTTGGTCCTAACCCTGGGAGTGTATATTGCTAATATATTTTTATTTCTCTCCCTAGAAACGTGTAAGAAAGCCATGGTCTGCATCTGAGGTGAAGGCTGTGGAGAAGACCATGACACCTTTCATACAGACTGGAAAGGTCCCTGGGAAGTCTCACTGCCTGGCCTGCATTAATGCCTCACCAGATGACCTTAGACATCGGACATGGAGTGGCATTAAATTCTATGTCAAAAATAGAATCACTGCAATTCGAAAAAAAAATCTAAAATAAAATTCCTTTAAAATAGTTGTTTGGTTTCTATTGACTGTTTTGTATTACTTAAAGTAGTCCCAGTAAAAAAAGATTATGTCTATGGGTCCCATTCTGAACGGCCCTGTCAAAGGGACCCACCAGGTAACAAAAACGTGTGTGTGTGTGTGTGTCCTGCAGAGATAGGTGTGCGTTTCTTTCCGAGGACAGCACCTCCAGGACACTGCAGCCCGGCGGAGGAGGGCTGCTGCTGGAGGATTGGAAGCAGATGTGGCCCTCGCAGAGCCACACTGCGCCGGGTCAGGCCTCAGACGTCCACAGGTGCAGCCTCAGCCTTTCATGTTGGCAAGAAAATCACTATCTGGACCGAGATGTTCCAAAAGTGGAGGGCCTTTCAGACAGCTTTGCTAACATCTACAGAGGATTAGCTTTACATACGCTTCATTTGAGCTCCCGGAACGACCCCAGTCTGGGCCAGTAGATACAGGGCTCGGGTTTGATCTGCTCTTAGGACTTATATTATTTATCTTTTTTTAGTATGTGTTATTTTTGTAATATCTTCAAATGATATAATTGTGTTTTGGTGGCGCATGGTATTATGAACAACCATCACTATTTATTTGAGCAGATATAGAAGCAGTGTCGAGGGTCTAAGTTATACCTTTGTAATATTTTAAAGTGATCTATTCCCTTCTGGCCAACTCTTTACTCATTGCTAACAAATATTTGGAAATGGCAGAATATGTGAAACAAAGGTTTTTTGTATTATTATTATTATTTAGGTATTTTATCTGTGCAGCACTTTGGAAACGTGCTTTATAATGTGCTATATATTTAAAGTGGATTGGAACAAAGCTAAGACCCACTTTGTGTTTGAATATAACAACCTCACCATCATCGGGTTTCTGAACCAAAAGCACATCAGAGTTTAGCTCAAGTTTTGCAGCTTGTCACATTTTAAAAACCGTGATAGATAGTCAGTGCAAATATATTCCATTTTTATCCCAGTAACTAATGAATATTTATTAGAATTAACTTACTCAACACTGCATCGTAGAATAACAGGCCCTTTAAACCTATTGGGGTTTGCATTTCAATTCTCAAATTCAGAATATCCAAAGTGTATGGTCTTGTTTTTGTTCTTGGTCCATTTTTTATTCCCGTTTCACTCAAAAAACACGAGAACAATTACACATGAAATTAGTCTTGACTTTTCTTAACGTGATTTTATGGTGTGTTGGTCAGAAAATTAACCCTAAACCTGAATATGGCTGACATTCAACAATAGCATAATTGTGTGTAAACGGTCTCTCTTTGCTACAGCCTGTCATTTCCCAGAGAAGAGTCGGGGATTAAGTTGCCTTTACGCGCCCAAACTGATCCCTATAAAGGCCTCGTGCGTAAAGGACAAAACGTGGACTTTTGAGCAAACACAATCCTGTAAATAAACTCGCATTTTAACACTTTCCTTTCTCGTCATTTGAAGCTGGGATTCTACAAGTACAAACACATGATGCAGATGATGTGACTGAACCCGTCTCCTTCTGCTGCTCTTTTCTTCCACAGGATAAAGGCCCTGGCTGTCACAAATATATCCTCTCTTCTTTTTTCTTTTTTTTTTTCTGACTCCCTACGTACAAAGAGGCACACACCTGGAGCCAGCAACAGCAACAAACCATCTATCCAAACTGAGACTGCTTTTATCTCCCAGTCCTCACAGTTTTCTATTTAAGGATGTCCAAACACACACACACACACGCGCGCGTAATTGGGAACGTTTCTGGCCCGTTGTCCTCCTGGGGCCTTTTATTTTACTTTATAAACTCCATCACGTGAATCTGCAACATGTACGCGCGGGCCAGTACTTTTTTATAGTAGTAGTGTATCTGTTTTGTGGGTGCCATGCTCTGGTGGACCCCGTTACATGAAAGTACACTGTGTCTTTAATGCGCTATATAAATAAACATGACACACTATATAGTTTGAAATATGAAGAATTGTTCTAATGGCATTCGTGACGCGCGTGCACTGCCCAAAGGTAAACACGTCCTGTCACTCAGCTGGATCAAACTGACACAAAAGAAACTTCTGTCACTGGGAATACGTTGTGCGTAAAGATGTTGTCGTTTATTTTTATACTTAATTAATTCATCTCAAAATGTTATTCATTGGAAACAAAATAATGGAATAATTTTGTAATAATAATGTTGTTTTGCTATTATTATTATTATGTTGTTGTTTGTTACGTGTGTTTTAAATGGACAATTTTTGTGTCTGAATTAAAGAGGAAATAATAAATATAATATCATTATCTAAAAAGGGTCTTGACTTAGACTGTCTATATTCTATCAATACAAAATATTTAGGTATATATATTTAAAACAAGACGATTAGTCTTTTTGTCCAAACACTAAAAACATAGTAACAACGTATTTTATCTTCTGATTTAATGCGGGTTTTTTTTAAATACAGTTTTTCCTATTTTTAAGAAGACGCGTATTTTCAAGAATCATCTCGACTCTTTTCTCGCTGTAAATGAATTATTTAAATCTCGTGGTTTCTATAATTTGTCAAATGATTAGGTATTCTTATATTAGTTTAAAGATATGTGTTATAATGGTTTGAAATAAAATAAATATAATATAAATATATAATGTAAATATAAACTCTGCGTCTGTCATCATTTTTCACCATAAAATAGCACTTATTCTAATATAAATTTCGATAACATCTAAAAGTATAAAAAAATGTTGTTGTCTCTGTCTCAGAAGTGCATGACATGAGTCTGTCTCCTGATGACTTCCGCAGAACCCACGGCCTGTTGTTTGTCAGAGGCCCGACCCCAGCACGTGGCTTTGTTTACGGCCCGAGCCCCACGTGAGCAGATAAACAAACAAGCCCAAACTCAAACCTGTCACAGCAAAAAAACAAATCTATTTTAACACAAAAGAGCAGAAACGGAGCAGTTCAGAGCAACATAATCTGTGTTTAGTTTTCACTTTAGCCTCAGCGTCAGTAAAAATATTATGTGAATCTGAAATGTAAAATAATTATATAAACTGCTGGGTCATGGATAAAAAAGGTAAATTTCCTCAGTGATAAATCCTGGAATGTTTTGGGACTGAGACTTGAATCTAATAATCCACACTCCAATGTGTCTCCAGAGGCGCTTTATTAAGAAACATAATGTCTTTGGAACATGAACAGAGTGAATAAAATACTCAACACAGTCTATTTCTATACAACAATAGTTCCATATGTGACTGCAGAGACCTTTTTGTGTTTGGTCCAAGTCTCTGACCACTCCCTTCACTCTAAAATAAATTACTATTAGGATTAATTTACAGTCTATAGTTGGAACGAAGCACGAGAAACTTACGTGTCAAAGATGAAACACGACTTGTTTTCAACAGTCTTGTCCATAAAGTAAAAATACACGCGGGTTATGAGTGCGCGGGTCAGAACTTGCTGCAGTCATAGACGAAGGCCCCCGGTGCACGGTACAGAGACTGTCCGGGGCCGGGGAAGCCCATTTGGCAGCTGTTACTCCCGTTCATCGCGTGGAAGTTCTGCTGCTGTGAGCTCGGATAGCTCAGGTGGCCCAGGTCCCCGTACCAGGACGTGATCCGGCCCTGGTGCGCGTGGTGCGGGTGGTGGTCCTGGCTCAGACTGCTGGGGCTGCTGCTGGCCGTGGTGGTGACGCAGTACTCTGGTAAGGCCTCGTCCAGAGCCGTGGACGGGGGGATGCTGGCAGCGCGCTCCACGCCTGCGTAAAGGCTCATCGCCTGCATGTTGCAGTGGTACGTGCCGTTACTAGAGTTCGTAATGACGTTCTGCGCACACGGCGCGGAGCTGTACGTCTGTCCCGGAGAGTAGCTCAGGGACAGCGGCAGACCTGTGCGTGAGGACGCTACGAGCGGCGGGGACATGTCTCCGTGAGGGGAGCCTCGCAGTGAGGTCATGATGTTGTCCACAGAAAAGCCCTGTCCCGGGGCCTGGCTGTGCACGTGCTCGTCCAGGCCAAGCGAGCGCGTGCATGGGCTGCCTGATGACGCGCCGCTGGAGCTGGAGCTGTCGGGGCTCTCGGTCTTTGGCACCGCGTGTAGCGCTGGGGACGTGGCCTGCGGGGGGGTGCAGGTCCCATTCTCAGTCTTAATGTCCTGGACGCGGACGGGCTGTGAACCCTGCACCTCCTGGCCCTGGCTCCGCGGCTCCTTCTGCCGCGAATCTCGTTCTTCCTTATCGCGCACCACGTCCTTCTTTTTGAACCTCCGTCTGCGTCTCAGGAAGCTCCCGTTCTCAAACATATTGTACGAGTCCGGGTCCAGTGTCCAGTAGCTGCCTTTGCCCGGTTTCTTGTCATCCCGCGGCACTTTGACGAAGCACTCGTTCAGGCTGAGGTTGTGGCGGATGGAGTTCTGCCAGCCCTGCTTGTTGTCCCGGTAAAACGGAAAACGTTCCATAATGAACTGGTAGATGCCGTTCAGTGTGACCTTCTTCTCGGCAGAGTTCTGAATGGCCATCGTGATCAGCGCGATGTAGCTGTACGGAGGCTTCACCATGTCTTTGGGCTGGTGGTGCTGCGGCGTGTAGGGGCCGTAGGCGCGGGCCATGCCGGCCGGGTACTGCTCATGAGAGTACATGGTCATAGGAGCAGGCATCCCCGTGTAGCCTCCTCCGCCGGGCCGGTAGTAGCTCTGCTCACTGCTGATGTAAGGCACTACTCCGAGGGAGTTGGGGCTGGACACGGAGTAGCGCGCCTGCATCCTGCCTCTGAGCCTGTGTCTCTGGAGTCTCTGGAGCCTCTGAGCCTGTGCCGCTGGAGCCTCTGAGCCTGTGCCGCTGGAGCCTCTGAGCCTGTGCCTCTGGACTCTCTGTCTGTGCCTCTGTATCCGCTCTGCTCTGGGCTCAGCCTCTGTAGAGTTTCAGCCTCTCGCTCTGAGCTGCTCTGAGCTGCTACGAGCACTTTTTTCGTCTCCTTCTTTCCTCCCTTTTGGCTCCAGCGCTGCTCCTCCCTCTCCGCTTGCGCTCTGCATCCGATTGGAATGGAGAGAACCTGTGGAAACTGATAAAAGTTCCCCCTTCCTCAATTCTCTCCTCCTTTTACTCCTTCACTGTCAGAGTTTTTTTGGCCTAATCTGAAAGTTTGAAACGCAACATTTCATTTGTTAAAGATACGCCCTGGTTTTTATGAAGCTTATTATTAAGCTAATTATTAAAGCATGTAGCCGAATTATTCCTTAGCATAATAGTTATCATCTTAAGGCCTACTATACTACTACTACTTCTTCTACTCTGTAGTATAGCTGTATAGTAACAGCTATTGGCAAATACTTTGGCAGCAGATATTGCTTCATAAATGAGTCAAATATTTGAGGTAGACCTGCTTTGACTGAAGATATTGTTGATAATAATCCTGCCTCTATGTGTCATTAAAAAGTCAATGGGGGAGGGGGGGATAGAGCAGCAGCACCATATGACAGTCGAATATATATTGCAGTTGTTGATTCCCACAGTGCATATTGTGTGGCCTTTAATGATCCTGAGGTGTGTGTCCTGCGTCATTAAAACCTCTATGAACGTCGTTTGGCCTCAGTGTGAGAGAAGCGCCGCGGGGGGTCATCAGCTGTGCCAGAGTTAAAGGCCCAAATGTCGTTCACACATTTGGGCTCCCGCACGGGAGGAGGAGGCAGGACGAGCTTTTATGTGGATTCTGTAAAACAACAAGGCCTTTGGGCAGGTCTCTCTCTTTTCTGTTCATGCTCCGTGTTCTGGTCCGTGTAAGGCCTGACAGGACGAAATAGAAGAATATTTTTACAAATTAATGTTGAACACAGACCATTTTCACTGATTTGGAAGCGTTCATAATGACCGTTTTACGAAAGTATTGCTTTTTGGTCATGCTAAAATAGAAATAGAGGCAGTCAAATCAAGGAATTCCACAAATCCCCATTTAGTTTTCATACACACATGTCTGCTGCGTTCAGGGTTCCGTGGGAAAGATACTTAAGGATTTAAACATAAGCTAAGATAAGATAAGATATTCCTTTATTCGTCTCATATGTGCACAGAAATTTCAATGTCATCGTTGCGCACATTACAGCAGAGAAAGAAGGAAATATAAGCACTCAGATTGCACACATCAAATTGAGTCCATTATTTAAGATAATATAATAGAATTTAAATAAGATAAAGAATAAAATAAACTCTGGGGCTATAATTGCGCTTGGTTCAGAAGTATTTAAGATAATATAGGCTAAATTGATCTCACAATGGAGAAATGTACATGTCAAAATATAGGCATCAATAGAGTCACTGCAGGTGTGGAAAAAGACAGTTTGCAAAATATAGTCTTTGTGCAGAATATATTATGAACAATACAAAAATAAAAGTGACAATAGCAGTTTTTCACTCCTAGCGCAGGTCATTAAAGTAAAGTTACAAATACATGGTGGATATAGCTATGGCCTACGCTGCCTTTCTATGTGTGACGTAAGAATGAATATATAAACCATGTCCTGACTTTATTCTGTCTAAAACAACTGAAAATGTGCGCAGGGATCCCGTCTCTGTGAGGTTCATTTGTCAAATCCAAGCACTGAACCTTGGGGGACCGAGCTTTCGCCATCTCTGCTCCCATTCTCTGGAACTCTCTCCCCCCTCATCTAAACTCGGACTCACTCCTCTTCCTCCAAGCATATGATTCTTAGTTTCAACTTTATTTTCCTGCTTTTAGATTTTTAATTTTGTGCGTCTGTCTAATTGTGTGTGTCCTGAATTGTGACGTGTCTTTGAGTTTTTGAAAAGCGCTAATCATTATTATTATTATTATTAATTTTCCACATACATCACAAATATGTTTTATTGTCAATGGTAGAGACGAGGCACAGACAGTTTCCCAGAATGCAACATATATGACAGCATAGAGAGTCCAAACAGTATTTTACCATGATGTCAGTAAAGCTTTGACTGCAAATGGCAAATAAAACGGAATAAACGTGAATCCCTGCAGCGCGCAGTGAGAGCCGCGTCCTGAGGTGAGGAGCGTGTTGGAGACAGAGACACTTGGAAATGACAGAACAAAGAGCGCGATAATGAAATGAGACTTTCACACATTCACAGCATCATCATCATCATCATCATCACCATCGCCTCGTTTGGCTCCACATCCTCCTCCTCCTACTACTCCTGCTCCTCCTGCTGCTCCTGCTGCTCCTGCTGCTGCTGCTGCTCCTGCTGCTCCTGCTGCTCCTGCTGCTGCTGCTGCTGCTCCTGCTGCTGCTGCTGCTCCTGCTGCTCCTGCTGCTCCTGCTGCTGCTGCTGCTGCTGCTCCTGCTGCTCCTGCTGCTGCTGCTGCTGCTGCTGCTCCTGCTGCTGCTCCTGCTGCTCCTGCTGCTCCTGCTGCTGCTGCTGCTGCTGCTGCTCCTGCTGCTCCTGCTGCTCCTGCTGCTGCTGCTGCTGCTGCTGCTGCTCGGCCTCACGGATTAGGACTCTCAAAACATTTGTGTTCAGGCATTTGTGTTTGTGTTTGTGTTTGTAAGTCACGTTAATGACCTGCACTAGGACTGAAAAACTCGCACTGCTGTAGTCACTTCTGTTTTTTTCATACATGAACATATTCTGCACAGAAAAATCAATAAAGTTTATCTTGTGTTATGTTTAAATAATTGTGTTTATCTTTCCCACGGACCCCTGAATACAGCATGTGTCTATGATGAAAACTATATATTTGGGGATTTGGGGAATTTCTTGATTTGATTGCCTCTTCTTTTTCAATATTGATTATACAATGTTTTTTTTTTAAATTATTATTATTATTATTTGCAGTAAAACCACATTGGAATTCATCTGCAAAAGTCCCCATTGTACACACGACACGAACATAAATAAACACGGTTAAAAATACAGGAATAAAATCAGGTCAACCCTTTAGATGCTAGAAGTTTTTTTTAGATTTTGACTCTGTAATTTCTTAATAACTTAAAAGTGAAAAGAGATAGAGGCTTTATGTAAATTAGAGGAATGATAAGGAAGGTGCAAAGTTTATGTAATTAAATGTATCAAATAGATTCCATATTAGGACGTCATATGGAGGCGGCAATCATGGATTTTTATTAAATACGGTATATTTTTGTTTTTACAGACAGACACAAATCACTATAGACATGAAAACACAAACAGAACTCACACTGCACCACACTCAAAGGTCGGGGAATAAGTAAAACAGTGAAAATCATTGTGTGGGAGGAGTTTTAATGAATTTGGACGTCCTGCTTGACACAATCAGTTGTTTTAAACACCTACAGGGTTAAAAGTACAGGAAGAAAACCAACAAAAATGTCAGTGAAATTGATCAATAAAAACAGTTTCGATACAAAGGCAAGAATCATTAAAGTGCTTAGTTTCAACCAGTGGGGGCGGGTCCCAGCTCAAAAGTGGCCAAAATAACGTGCGCTGACATGCTTGCAATACCACCTAGTTTACTTGCTGTGATTTTTTGAAGTCTCTCGTTCAAATGAATGAAGCTGCGCCGGCTGACGCATGCGCAGATGCGTTTTTTCACAATTTTCTTGTGGGCGGGACCACTCGTGGCCATTTTGGATTGCTCCAGTAGAGCACATTTTTTGGCCCATTAGTTAGAACGGCGGAGATAGGCGTGACTCTGTCCAATAATATATACAGTCTATGGTTTCAACTGATAAAACTTGTGGAATGAAGCCAACGGTATCTTCTGCCAGAGGGAAGAAGCTGGAACATGGCTTTTCCAGAAGAATCATGGATTATTCTCAGAGCTCATGAGAAAAAGGCCTCACACCAGTTTGTATGTTTTATCATTAATCCTAAATATAAACATGAGCCTTTCAGAATCGTATTGAACACTTATTGTTGCCTCAGAAATGTAGAAACAGAATGAATGAGGTAAAGTTCTGACAAAACTGTAGCAAAACGAAACTTGTATGTCTCGTATCTGGACATAGACACACGTGTAAACTGGGGAATAAAGAAAAGAATCCAAATCTTGCGTGAACATGTAAATTGAAGGGGTTACTTTACATTTACACAGAAAAACAAAACTCACACAGTTGCTGCTTTAACCCATAAACACATCAGTGATAAACACACAGCTGATGTTAATCTGTAGGCTTCTTACGCCTCCCAGTGGACAGAAACAAGAATGCACATCAGCTGTCATTTAAATGTCTTGTAGCAGACTGGATAATATGTAAGTAAATAAGTCATTCTTATTTGTATAGCACATTTCACACACAGCACTTTACAAAGATATCCCGAGGTGTCGCCTTGTTTTGTTTGTTCAAAGTTGACCTTGAATTTTAACTAAACACAATATTATGTAAGCTCATTTTGCATGTATTTCTTAATTTTTTTATTTTTCTAAACACAAATTTTAGAAAAACTTTCTTAAATTAATGAGTGTTGACTTATCACATCAAAGCACATGTTTTTATTATTGTAGGCAGAGATTAGTATTATATGTTTTTGTTATTTTATTTTTGCACATACACACATATACCTACACGTATACACATACACACACGCACGCACAGACACTCTCTCTCTTTCGCTCTCTCTCTCTCTCACACACACACACACACACACACACACACACACACACACACACACACACACACACACACACACACACACACACACACACACACACACACACACACACACACACACACACACACACACACACACACACACACACACACACACACACACACACACACACTTACACACTTACTAATTACACTTACTAATTATGTATTTCGTTACTAGCTAGGCCTTTATTATTGGCTTCTCCGAGCTTCACCACCAACATACTTCTGATTATAACTGCATATTCTCAAATGTGTAATGCGTTACACACCTAATACTTAAGTGCCTTCTAAAGTAATGTAATCAGTTGCAATAAAGAAATTATAGACCTACAGCGTCATCTGCTGGACGGTTTGGAAACGCACAGATGGACGAGATAGGGGAGCGAGTTTGTTAGAAATAAAGTGAAAAATATGTCTCGATTATGAGGCAAGTTCTAATGAATTTGATGTGATGTGAAAGGCCTCGCTGCCCCCCTCCCGTGACGTCACAGACCCTGCTTATATTAGGGGCCTAATTAAACACAGAACGAATTCCACAAATACTCCTGGACCTCAAAGCCGCACACCCAGAGAGCACATTTGAAAAGGATTTCAAATAAATACGTGCCAATCAACCATGTGCAAACCATTAATGTGTGTTGATGGTCTGAGGAGAAGGTCTGCGCTCAAGGCCGCGGGGAGTGGACCACGTGGCGCTTCCCTTTTGGAATCACTGCGGCTCTGAGGAAGAAGAGACTGAGGATATTACGATATGTGGAAGAATGTGGGTACTTTGACTCTTGGATCACCACATTGTGGACAAAGGCGTTTAAATTAAGCACAACAAACAAAACCACTTCCTATATATGATCACAATTATTCTAAAGTGGCTGGGTATTTACTTGAATTACCAACGCCATCCACAAGGGGTCACAAGCTGATCCATACGCTATAAATGTGTCACTGAAGAAGCGCCATAGTTGAAAGGGCCAATCATGGATCTATTATATTAACGGGGCCAATGGGAAAATGACGCGCGCTGTTTGTTCGGTTAACCGCCCCAGGACAAAATCTGGACTACAAATCTGTTTTTGAGAATTCTTTGAATCTCGGGAGAGACCAGAGAGAGACCAGAGAGATCAGAGTGAGATCATGAGAGAGAGAGACCAGAGAGAGAGACCAGAGAGAGACCAGAGAGAGAACAGAGAGAGACCATGGTCAACATTGTCAGGGTAGAGGCCTGTCTCACAACCTCAGGAAGATTGTTCCATATAAATCTGCAAAGATCTGAAATGCTACCGTTTCGTCCTTTTACATTTCTCCATTGTGAGATCAATAAAGTTTCCCATACTTATCTGACTCTGGGACCAGCAGGAGGCCAGTCCCTGTGCTCCTCAGAGTCCGAGCATGGGGCCAGTCCCTGTGCTCCTCAGAGTCCGAGCATGGGGCCAGTCCCTGTGCTCCTCAGAGTCCGAGCATGGGGCCAGTCCCTGTGCTCCTCAGAGTCCGAGCATGGGGCCAGTCCCTGTGCAGTCGGTGTAGTAATCGGATAACCACAAAACTCGGTCTCAGGCTGTCCTCGTTTATTCCATTAAGGGTTTTAACACCAATTTGCATTTCATATCATCTGCTGTCGTTGTGTCCCTGGGCAAGACACTTAACCCCACTTTGCCTGAAGACTCGTTGAAAGACCAAGGCCGTGTCTTTGATGACAGAGAATCCAACTTCCCGTGCAACTAACACATTGCAAGAAATGATCATGAGGTAATAAATGCTTGAATCAAGTGTTTTTGTTCTGACTGTGTTCAAACCAGATTCTCCAACGGGACAGAGTCATTTAGTCTGATTTTAAGATCTGTTGCTTTATTTTTTCATTTCAAAAGATATATTTCTTGTATTTTTTGATTAAGATTACAAGATCATTTTGCTGCTTTGGCAAATCTCGTTTCAGGAAAATATGCTCAAATTAAGATACATTTTTCCAAAATTGAGCAATTTCTTAGTTATTTTTTATCATGTTTTACAGTGTACAGGATCAGTGAGGGGCTGGTGCTTAGAGCTTTAGGTGGCAGCTCTGATTACCACCTCCCGACCCAGAAATGGACTAATAAAGGGGATGAAAATTACCTGACAATTGGCTAGGATTATATTAATTTTGTGGCTAAGACTTCTTCTCTGACAATGTTAAATCCAGGTATCTTTACTCTTTTTAATTTACGCTGATTATTCATGATTTCAATGCCTTGTTGTTTCTATCTTGCTTTGTTCATCACTTTGAGTTGCCTTATGAACTGTGCTATACAACTTGCCTTACCTTGTCTGTGGAGAGACGAGGTGCCCGTGCGTATGTCGTTCCCCGTAGCCACCACTAGATGTCACCAGAGTAACGCACGTAAACGGGTTTGGCTGCAGTTTCGGGCTCTTGGATGGACGCAATCAGAAGTTTCAATCGTGAGTTTTGTCCAAGCCCATTTTTCTTCTTGACGTGTGGTGGTTTATTTCCCCTCTGTGTATCAAATCTGCCTCCCATATGACATTCAGAGACGGCAGGAGCGATCAAAGCTGCAGCAGGAGGCCACTTCAGTCAAACTTTCAAATGATATTACGCATGAATTAGGGTTAGGGTTGTTTATGAACGTGAAGTACAAAGGGCTGTATTTGATTGGACTTTAATCCGGGTAAAAAGAATAGAATAATCATCACGTATAGTCGGCTACGGCATGAGCCTTTATGAGGTTAGCTTTGTAAGATATCTTTCTCATCTAAAGTGAGTTTGGGAGGTTGTATTTTATTGAAAATCCTGTTGTTTAGACCATTTGAAACATTAACCCAAACACATGGACTGGCCCAACAGTTAAGTGGAGTCTCCAGTCTCTGATGTTTCCAAAATATCGTCCCTGTGTCCCATAATGTGTGATTATATTTTTTACAGGCCGTATCCAGGCACAGCCACTGAGACTGGAACATCCAAAAGAATAAGTGGGCCTTTCGGAAACTTGAATTTAGGATATGGGCGATTTGGGGACAATAAAATATCGCAATTCTTTTTCTGCATTGATGAAAACTGAAATTTGATGCCAGGGTTTTATACGAATTGGCAAACACCTATTTATGTGTGACCTTAATGTTGTGTGTGAAGTGTGTCATTGTAAAAGGAGAAAGTTGCTCTTCAGCTCGATGATGATGAAGGTGTTTTTCGATTCTAATGAAGCAATCGGTAATCAGAACTGAGAAAAGTGGGGATTGCGCTCCTGCAGCAGTTTTACATTAAACTTCGTGGTTTACAAACATTTGACAATAAAAAATGTTATGCTTGGTTGTTTGTATTTCCCCCCCCAAACTCTTTTTTTTAAAGGTAGATTTTTTTCTGCTCCTATTGATAAAATATGTTTGTAATTACAGTGGTTCAGAATAAATCTGTTTGAAAAAGGCTTGAATCAGATCTGCAGAAGAAACGTAAAAAAATTATGAATGGACTCATTTTGTTGATTCACTAAAAATATTTCCACCATGAGGACGTTATAACAATAATAATTATATGTTTATTACTGAGGCAACTCTCCCTTTGTGAGGTTTAGAAAGTCTCATTTGATTCAAAACAGAAAAAAATAATGTGAAACATAAGTTTTTAAAAAGTATATAAAGTGGAGTAATAAGAAAAGATAAAGGTTTATTCAGTGGAACACTTCAGTTGGATGTGTCCACAGTGTTCCTGCTTCTTATTGGGTCAAATAATTGTATTAGCGTTTTCTTTAATCCGTGAGGCTTTAGTGGAAAAAAAGATTGCTCTGATTCACCCAAAGCCCTAATGGCCTCTGTCAGACACTTTTCAACATGTTTTAATATATGTAGGCCTTTTATAGAATGTTTTGTCCCTTTGTCTTCACACATATTGACAGCATTACATATAAACCCTTAAAACATATTCATGGTTTTAAACTATTACATATGTGTTAATACAAATACACTTAAGAAGGACCTACAATATTGTTTTTTTTTATTGAAACCGTTTACAGGGCAAAAGTTGCCAAATGGTAATACAATAAGTGCAAGGTTTGATGCTGGTCACGTTCAAAGCGTCGCGTGTGTTACAGACAAAGACAACGATACAAAGAATATAAGTCGTTACAAAACCGCAAACACAAAGGTGTCTGTGAAGGCTGGTTTGGAAAAGGCACAGTGGTTTCTGAAAGGCCCACAGGTGGTTCATGGCTGGTGCGTGTTTGGTTCAGATGGCGCAAAGGCGGATGTCCTTCACTGTCCAGCGCGCACATGACGCACGGCTTCACGTCCTGGCGCGCGCTACATGACGCACGGCTTCACGTCCTGGCACACGCTCTGGGGGTGATGGTGGTGGTGGTGGTGGTAGTAAGAGCTCGATGCCGAAGGGTGAAAGGAAGAGATGCCGTTAAAGTTCAACACAAAGTCCTTCCTGTCGCAGACGGAGGAGTGGCTCTGGTAACGAGGGATGCCCACTGCAAGAGAAAGCACAGGTGTCAGGAGCTACAGGATATACAGGAGCTACATATACAGGAGCTACAGGAGAAACAGGAGCTACAGGAGATACAGAAGATACAGGAGCTACAGGAGCTACAGGTGCAACAGGAGCTACAGGAGCAACAGGAGCTACAGGAGCAACAGGAGCTACAGGAGCAACAGGAGATACAGGAGCTACAGGAGATACACTAGCTACAGGAGCTACAGGAGATACAGGACTACAGGAGCTACAAGAGCACAGCTGTATATTGGACAAGTGTGTCTAAGTCAAGGACCTGATCCAGATGTCATTATCCACAGTACCATCATGTCTGTGATGGATCCATCAGAGCCTGATGTCGCTGCTGCAGATTATCGCTGCATAATAAAGTCTGCATCAGCGGCTTTTCTCTGACACATTGTCACCAGACGCTTCTTTGATTTACATTTACCCTTTAATGTTCAATGTCATTTTTTTTCTTAAAAAAAATATTATTATTATTGTTGGCCTTTACCAAATGGTTGAGATGTAGCTTGATGGTAAAAATGCCTAAAACCCCAAACAGGGAGATTTCAGTTCCAATATTTAATGACTCGAGTGATTTACCAAAAGGTTGAAGAAACCATTAAAGGGTTAACAGAGCTTTCATTTTCTTTGCCCCTTTGTTTCACCAATAAACTTGACTTCTTGGTACAAAACGGCCTCCATGAGTGTGTATATCCTGTTGTTCATGTATTTGACTTATTGCTTATCAAATCCATTCATTGTGCTATAGCTACCTGTGGTTTATTCATATTAATAGTATAAAAATAGTATCATAGTATTAATAGTTGCTACACTTTGGGCAATGAAGTTATTTTAAACATTCCACACAAAAAGGTGAATTGAATTTATTGAGACCAAAAATGTGTTTTAATTAACCTAGACTATTGTTCACATTTATTTTATTAATTGTTTTTATTTTGCTTAGTATTTTGTCACATAAAATACGCCTCTTTAAGACTTTTTTTTAGGGCATGCAAAATATTTTGCACCCAACTGAAGGTTGTATTTGAGAAAGTCATACGGACTCCAGATGTGTCACGAAGAAGGTTTTATTCCCAGAGATACTTCTCTCACAGGACATAGGCGGACATATAAGAGACATAGGAGACATAGGACACATAGCAAACATAGGACACATATATGGGACACAGAGCACATAGGAGACATAGGACACATACATAGGACATATTGGACACATAGGAGACAGGACACATATGAGATATACATATACACATAAGACCGATATGAGACATGGATAGGACACATAGGACACATAGAGCAAAGGACAGAGGACACACAGGACATGGGACAGAGGACATAGGACACAGGACACATAAGAGACAGGAGCCTCACTGACAGACTGAGGCTGCGGTGAAGGCCTGATCCACGGACTCATAAAGCCGCGCTCTCTGCACGCAGCGGTCTGGGCGCCGCCGGTGTGGTCCGACCTGCACAGCCTTTGTTTGGGTAACCTCCAGGACCTTTGCAGGGATCCAGCATGCTTTACCCGCCCCGGAGAAATCCCCTGACTTCACTAAATCCCCGCTTTGTTATCTTTAGTTAAATGGATCGTTTTAGAGAGAAGCTGCGACTGCATGAAACACGGTGAGTTTGTAGAATTGTAGACGAATTTCCACGATAAACCAGTGTTTTTCAACCTACAGGCCTTGTCATGTTGTTTGGTGTGCCTTGGGAAAAATTCCAATATCACATAATTGGTCAAAATAATGTGAGAAGATTAGAAAAACTTGCGCTTCTTTCATTGTCTCTATAATTCCCTTGATAAGAATGACTTTGATGTTTAGATTTTCTTCAGTTTAATAAAGTCTAATTATTTCATTTTTGTATCAGTTTCAGCTGGAGGTGAAGCCCTGTCATTGTTTTCAACAAAAAAGTTTGCCACGGCTCAAAAAGGTTGTGGAACACTGCGATAAACAACCTCCAGTTGAAAATATTCTCCATAAAAGTTATTCACTTATTATGGCTGTTTTTCCTGTTATGATATTTATGTATTCTGCACGTAACCTGCGATAGACATAAGCACTAAAGAGCCGTGTAAATGTGTGTTATTTATGTTCACGCTCACAGCCACATTATAATAACAGGCAAATTAATAGATTTATCGTGACTGTTTATTTATTATTATTATTTTTTTAATATGGCTTTTAAATATATTTAAATGGACTGTAAAACTACATTTTTCAAATCAAACGTATCTGGTTTGTTTTGTTCTGATGTAAACGAAATATGCGTTAGAAATAAACAATTACTTTTACTTATAAAAACAGAGTCTACAATATATATAGTTGTTGCTAATTTATAACAGTGACAACTGCTGATCCATCCCCGCTGTTATATTCTGTTCTACACTTTTATTCTTTTGTTCGTTTACATTATTTACTTGCATTGTTACTGTGTTAGTTTGATCATACCTGAAATGTCGCTGTGGCTGTCTCGGTTCTGGTGGAGGTAGCTCTGCTCCAAAGAGTAGGGCGACATCCCTGAGTGCAGCGTTGAGGATGCGGGGCTGCTGGAGGCCAGAGGCTGCTGCTTGATGTACGGAGAGCCGCTGGAGGAAGCCCAGTGCGCGGAGGAGCTGGTGTAGGGAGAGTGACCGTCCAAAGCACTGGCCATGGCCGGGGAGGAGGGCACTGGACTGCTGCTGCTGTCCGCGCCGTAGTCACCACTGGGCGGCACTGGACAACTGGCCATGTACGTGGACCCGGGGCTCGGGGACATGTGGGCCACGTGGGCCACATGGTGGTCGTATCCTCCGCTCATGGAGCCGTTCATCATGTCCAGGCCGTAGCTGTTACTGGCGCAGAGACTGGACTGAGGCTGGAAGTCAAAGCTCTGGGGCAGAATGGAGGCACCAAACCCGATGCCATTCATCATGCGGTACATGGGCTTGAGAGCCTGACACTTCCTCCTGAAGCCCCGGGGTCTGCGCCGAAACGAGCCCTCCTCAAACATGAACTCACTGCCGGGGTCGATGGTCCAGTAGTGGCCCTTACCGGGACGGCCCAGGCCTTTGGGCAGCTTGATAAAGCACTCGTTCAGTGATAAGTTATGGCGCACGGAATTCTTCCATCCCTGATACGAGCCGCGGAAAAAGGGGAACCGCGCCTGAAGAAACTGATAAATCTCACTGAGAGTCAGCCTCTTGCTCGGGGAGCTCTGGATGGCCATCACGATGAGAGCGATGTAGGAGTAGGGGGGCTTCTCTGGCCGCCGCAGCCCCGAGCTGGACTTCTTCCCCTTGACCACGGAGGCACTTTCTGAAGCGGCTTGAGGACTCAGCATGGTGGGGTGCAAGACTCCTGTGGATGGGCTTGATCTAAGAGGAGGATCCAGCTGCTGTTGAGGGGTCTCTGTGGTCATGACAGCGCTGACGCACTATGGCGCATATGCACCAAAAAGGGCTGGAGCAAAAAGAATAGACCTCAGAATGATATCAGTCTATGGAGCAGACCTGAAAGTCCAGTAAGTGGTCGGTCAGTCCAGTTAGCACAGAGAGGGATGCACCGACAGTGGTCCTCGCAGTCCCAGTGCAAAATGGAGTGAAATCTGTCTCCAGTTACGCACGACTCCGTTACGCACAGCTCTCTGTTGACGCATAGCGGCTACGCTCTGACACAGAGGAAGAGGAAGGGAGCAAAAGGGGAGTGGGTTATCCTGCGACTGTGGACTTCAGCTGGACTCCCAGATGTCACTGCGGCACCACTTTCATGATAATAACACTAGTGTCAAGTTGGGGTTCAGTTTTCATTTTAACCAAGTGGTTTTATCTTTAGTCACACAAGCCTAAGACTGAACTGGAAATGTAAACGATAAAGTGTATAACCGATCGAGACATCACAGATATGTTCAAACAAAAGGTAATATTCTTGCATATATTTATTACATAATAATGTACACATCGGAGATAACCAGGTCGTATAGAACTGATGTTGAAACGACATCTTGGAGGTCAACAAAAATACAATTTTTATGATGATATTTTCAGTTCTTAACCATATTTCGAATTTCCCATAATCATATCCTCACCATTCCTAAGCATTAGTTGTGAAACCCCCTGGTTTCTCTCTTCCTTCAACATCCCTCCCCCTTCTTTACCCCAACAGCGGTTCCAAGTTCGGACTATACACGCAATTAGGCCATCGATCACAGCTCCCCCAGACGTCCACATCAACAGTGCCACACGCCAGCGGAGCTAAAAAATGAGCCCTCAGTCACACGTTTGGCAAAGGGACATTTAAATTAAACACTAAACAGAAAGGAATAGAACTTCAAATGGAACTGGCTAAAAGCAGGGAAAATTACAGAGAGTAAAAACGTGCACGACTTCGTCTCGTGATTTCCTCAAGAGTAACACAAACAAAGTGTCCAGGGAATGAGGCTCTCTCTCTGCAGAGGTGGAGGTGCTGCCTCGGCCTGGACTGTGGTGGTCTTTACCGTGCGTGCGTAAAGGGGGGTTAGCGCTCATTGCACTCAGTAAATGACTTTGACATGAGTGGAAACAGGCTTTTTCCATCAGGCCCGGCCCGGGATACCACACACAGCGGCCAGTGTCGGCTTACCGCCCCGGGCCACGACTCGTCCCATGGGCCCCCGCGTTCATTAGAGAGAAAAGCGAAATTAGGCGAGCGGGCGTCGACAGTTTCCTCCCCCTATGGAGACATCACACATACATGTGTCCGACATGATGGAGTTCAAGATCCCATAAAGGTAATGTCAACATCCTGCGAGGCGACGAGCACTCGGAGATCTCGGAGATCTCGGAGATGAGAGGAGATCTTTCTGACCAAGAAACTTAGATATGTCTGATTATTAGACCTCTCCTCATGTTGCAATGTGTTATTTTGTTTTTGTTTGAGTCAAAACCTGAATGAATTAAAATATACACCATAGTTAGTTAGTTAGACATGTTTATTATTAATTGTGTGTTTATTTGGATGTGTTTTCTGGTGGACACTTTCTCCTACGGGGGATCGACAAAGTAAGATTAGGATTAATAGGGGTCCTTTATCCTAAATATTTCTATCTACAACGTGATTGTGTTGTCCACTTTAAAGTAAAAATGATGAAATACTATACGTCTGTTGCGAAAGGCCTGGAAAACTATTAAGATAAAAAACGTCACTGATCAAAACGTAAACACACATTTGCATGAATCCCGATGAAAACGTGAACCTCCTTTTGTGATTAATTGTGATTAATGAACTTTAGGTTAATGTGGCTTAATTCAAATATTTGTTGGTATTCTAGATGTAAATATGTTTTGATTAAAAGCATTATCATAATTTGTTTATCATATTTTTGAAAACATATTAATATTATCATTAATGTTCTTATTATTGTTATAGTTTTTATTTTGTTGTCGTATTACTATAATTAGGCTATTACTTAAATTATTTGGCCTGATGCACTTTAGGCCTAATTTAAAATAAAACCTTACTGATCTCACAATTAAGCAATTTACAGGATTTATTACAGATTTAATGATGTCCTATGACTATTTACTATTTACTATTGACTCTTTCTTGTTACAATTGGGCTAAAAATATCTCCTGGGTTTATAACTACTTCGTTACTGATAGTATTAAAATATGCTCTGGTGGTTTTGCTTCAGCTTCAATCAAAACAATGACGCGCGTGTTACCCACCACACGGACGTGCACGCGGACTGATTGTCCTTCTCCTCTGGGCCCTCTCTCTCTCGGAGCTGGAGCTGAAGCCGACACATTTCCTGCGACATCAACCGCCTCACCCCCCGCAGGGACCAGGATGCAGAGGTTCAGCTTTGAATCTTTGTTATTGAAGAACTTTGAAGACGCTGCACTGAGGCAGGCTACATTTAGAAAGTATTTCAGAAAGTATTTCAGAAAGTATGTCAGAAAGTATTTCAGAAAGTATTTTAGAAAACATTTTAGAGGCTTGTGGAGGTGAGAGGTCTGAGGGGTCTGAGAGTACTTCTTTCCTCCCTCTGGTTTTAGGAACATATAGTTCATTATTTTAATTCAACTAAATAAATATAATATGAAAACATAAACACATGTTAAAGACGGTCACAGACGGTCACAGACGGACAGCAGAGTGAGAAGCTTCTCTGCAGTAGTCGCTCTGAGCTCATCTGCAGGGGGCGCGGCCTGATCAGAGTCACGTGACCCTCTGACAGGTGTGCTGTTCCGGTCTTTCACCTGCAGGTTGCAGCATTGTCCCTGAAAATAAAAACACCTGTCACCTGCACCAGCGTCAGAGACTGTGCGTGTGTGCGCGTGTGCGTTCGTGTGTGCGCGTGTGGAGCGAGGGCAGAGCCGTCAAACAACCCAGACCTATGAGCATCACAAGCAAAGTTTGTGTTGTTTTAAAAAATAAATAAAGTGCAGCTTTTTTGTTTTATTGACAAACTGTGACACATAATCAAATATAACAGGGTTTAGCTGCAGTGGCTGTCAGCTCCATGATGCATTAGACTGTGATCTGTATCTGTCCCCTCTCAAAAACACCAAATATAACTATAATATATATCTATGTGACCTAAAGTGCTGTTGCATTTTAATATTATTGTTTTTTATTTCTAATGATTTATTTATTCGTTTTGTTTGTTTGGATGGATGTGTTTCTGCTGCTGCTGGACACCTGCATCTGTTGGTGTTATTGACCACAGGGATCAATAAAGTATATCTATCTATCTATCTATCAATCTATATATACAACATCTCTTTTCTTTTATAATTGTTATCAAAACTGAATTTCTTCTTTATTATTTTCTATTCCTCTGCTGTCAATGATTATTGTTATTATTCACATCTTGATTATTTCTTTCTAAAAAAGAATTGTGGCACAAAAACCTGCAGCTTATTTTTAATGTATCATATTTGTTGCAAATAGTCAATATTTTATTTTTCTAAATCTTAAAAATCTGAGATGTGTTATTAACAATTATAAGACTTATTATTGTTCTCAGTAAAACACAAGCATCAGAACAACACTGTCCTGGTGATGGTAACACTCAGACTCAGTATGATTGTTATGAGCTGTTGTTTTCTAAAATGTCTGTCACTCTCAGATAAAAGGCCAAGATATATATTTGATATATGTCCAATTATAATGTGTTTGTGAAAACTCTAGAATTTATGGTGATGACATCCTCTTTCCCACGCTTCATATTGACTCGTCCAAAATGTTTTAGAAAAAATGTCTATTCTTATCTTCTCTACATTGGAGCATATCCGCAGGTCATTCACATGATTCTCAGAATAAAAACATTCAGAGTTCCTCATTGCACATTTAGTTTTATTCTTTAAAAATAATACAATTCATGCATGAAACATTGCAGTAAACAGACTTTGCTCATGCGTTCAGTGCGTTTAGCCACGTGACGTCTTCGCAGCTCAGTCAATATTTATTTTCATATTTACAATTTACAAATAGCATACAGCAGATCAAAGAAAACAAGCAAATATAAATAGACAAACAACAGAAATGAACAATGACTCATTTACAGTATGACTTGAAAGGCCCAGTGCATTGTGGGTCAGCGCAGTCACGAGAGCAGATAGTCTATGTGGAAGCTACGCGTCTTGCTGGGCAGCCTGGCCTCGGCCGAGGCGTGCACGACCTGCGTGTGCACGACTTGCGTGTGCACGGGCTCCACGCGCGCCTCTGGCAGGTAGTTAAAGTTCAGAGCGCACGGCAGCATGTGAGGGGCTCCTGGGGGCCAATAGAGCCTGGCCCCATAGTTCCCATGAGCCTCTGCCTCCTCCCGGCGCCTGTACGGTCTGCTGAGGATGCTGTCGATGGCAAAGGAGCTGGAGAACTTGACCCTGTCCTCCTGCTGCGCGCCGCGGAGGAGGCTGCGCTGGGACTCGTCCTCAGTCAGGTCCGGGAGGTCCTCTTTGTTTGGCCTCTTCGCGATGCGCTTCCTCCTGCGTCTGAACACACCATCCGCAAAAGTGTACTCGCTGTGCGGGTTGAGCATCCAGTAGTTGTCCTTCCCCCAGGGTCTGGAGGAGTCTCGGAGAACTTTGAGAAAGCAGTCATTGAGGGACAGGTTGTGGCGCACGGAGTTCCTCCAGCCCGTGTAGCTGCCGCGGAAGAAGGGAAACTTCTTCATCAGAAAGTCATTGATTTCAGCCAGAGTCAGGCGGCCGCTGTCGGAGTCCCGGATGGCCATGGCGATCAGGGCTATGTAAGAGTAAGGAGGCTTTGGTCTCCGGGTGTAGGGTTTTCCCTTACCGCCGTCTCCAGCCTGGCAGGTGACAGGTGCCGGGCTGTTGGCCACGCAGTCCCCGTCTGACCCCAACTCATCCCCGGAGAGAGGGGACGGCACTCTTCCTTCCACATCCAGAGACATCTCCATTGGCTTTTGTGCAAAGTGATGCGCGGAGAAAACTTCGAGCTTCATTTCCCTCAGATCAGAGGATGGGGTTTCCTGAAGCAGAAAACAGGTGTCCCAGTGATGTGCGCAGTGCGAGCTTCTGTGCGTCTGTCTCTGGAGACACGCGCTTCACCATAATATAACGCCTCACAGGGTCTGCCCTCTCGGGGGCGGGGCTTCCACCACAGCCATTGAAACTATTGAGTGATAGTAGTATATGTTTACAACTGGAGCTACCGTGACACGCAACTTCAGAAGTACAAAAAACACTGAGGTGAGAGGGGGCGAGCTGCTGTCTCTGCACCGCCAACATTCTCACATCCACAGCACAATAAACAGGTTAGATTAGGCAAATAATGGATTATGATTGAGACTAATATGAATAAGTTATTATAACAAACTGTTCTTTTCAGGGAGGAAAGAAAGATGTGAATGTTGCTTGAATCGTTTTTGAAGTGTGGCCTGATCTTGAATTGATTTTTGATAAGGTGGAACAAGGAAGTACATAACAAGCATCAAATCCAAGTCTTTGGAAGCTGTTCACATTTAGCACGAACAAATGTCACGGAAATTCATCAGAGCACGTCAGAAGTTTAGCAGGGACAGGTCTCTGCACCTGCGCTCTCACTTTATCACTGTTACATCCTTTCTACTCCATCAACAGTAATGTACGTAATTGTAATTGGACTAATAATGATAATAATAATGATAATAATAATAATCAGATTGACACGCTACTGCTACTCTTTATGTAATCTGTAAAAGAAAAGAATTTGGATAGGTTTGAACTTTTCTCTCATTAATAATTAATACGACCCGCCCTTTTCTCACGAAGTGTTTTTGTGGGAAGATGGATTGAGTTTGGCAAGTACAGCTTTTGTGTTTCTAGTTTACACCCACAACTGCTTGTTATGGCTTAATTATCACCTCGTGTTGACTGGAGACTGGTCGCAGAATGCTTCAGCGTGTTGCCTGTGAGAAAGTGTCAGGATTTCAGGCTAAATGGGTTAATGATGTGTTTGTGCCTGTTACATGTGCCTGAGTGAAGTACAAAGATGAGTCATTAGAACAAATCCGGGGAATGTGTCTCTGACTTAGAAATATAATTATCTCATTGTCCTGGAGCCTGTCAACATGAGTGATGTATTGGAACATTAGAGATTGGCACATTCACACTGTATAAATGCAATATTTTGATGTGAAAATATATATTATTTTCAGTTCTTTGCATTAGTACAATTTTCAAACACATTCCAAAAAGACAAAAACAGGACTAGAACAATTTTCCGTGTTTATGTTGCCGATTGTTATGAGTATTGTGTAAAAGAGTCACAGCCCAATGTGCTTCATGCAGAGATGTTTAGGGTGAAAATAAAGTGTAACTGGTTGAACCTGTGTTAGTCGATCACAAAAACAATTGCATGGAGTTTATATCCTCACATTTTACTTCAAACACTAAAACCCTAATGTTCTGTCTGCAGCATTTTGTAATAGAATTTATTTAGAGCTTTTTATGACACTCAAAGATAATCCACATGCATTACTCATTCACTCCACACACAGGTAGCTTCTGCAGTAGCCACAGCTGCCGTGGGGCTGATTGTCTGAAGCAACGCAACTAATCTGTGCCATTGGCCTCTCTGACCACAAATCCCGCAGGCACCAGACTCATACTTTGTTAACACTGAAAGTAAAACAAAATGCTCTGTCCTTCATAAACTCCACTGGCTCCCCGTCAAACAGCGCATCCATTTGAAAATCCTCCTCATCACCTACACAGCCCTCCATGACCTCGCTCCTCCAGACCTCACTGAACTTCTACAGCCCTACAGTCCCTCCCGTCGACTCCGATCTGCAGACTCACATCTCCTCACTCCCACTGTCAAATCCAAGCACTGAACCTTGGGGGACCGAGCTTTCGCCATCTCTGCTCCCACTCTCTGGAACTCTCTCCCCCTCATCTCAGAAACTCGGACTCACTAAACTCCTTCAAAAAACAGATAAAAACTCACCTCTTCCTCCAAATATACGACTCTTAGTTTCAGCTTTATACTCTTCTTTCCTGCTTTTAGATTTTTAGTTTTGTGTGTCTGTCTATTTGTGTGTGTGTGTGTGTCCTGAATTGTGAAGCGTCTTTGAGTTTTTGAAAAGCGCTATACAAAACCAATGTATTATTATTATTATTGTTATTATTAAAGCCCAGTTTAGTGCAGTTTTAGTCCTGATGAAGCAGCTGGGGAGTGGAAAGACAAATGTTTTTGTTCTAAACTCAGGAGGCCAACTGCTGTGATGCTCAGACTGCAGAGTGAGGAGTATCATTACCACAGCCCCACCACACTTGTACACAGCACAATGAGGATTTCTATGTTTTGGCTGAGGCTGCTGTTCCACTGTGCGTTTTTGATCCGCTGGTATTTGATTTCATGTTCTGTGCCAAAGCGGGCACCACGCACCTGTGCCGCTGTGAACGGCAGCACACCTGTTCATGCTTTAGTTCTCCACCATTTCAATTCAACAAAAAGTCAACTTCCCACGGGGATTCACATGTGCATTTTCATACGTGTCCACAAAGACCTTCAGCTCATTATAAATAGTTTGTGTTATTTGAGAATGCTTATAGCCGCAGGTTCTGTGGAAGACGATCATCCCAGTTTTAATTGCCATTTGCAGAACCTACTGTGCTTTTGTTAGCTCAGCATACCTGTTAAGATTTAAAGTAGCACTAAGCCTTGTTGAGATCTCTTTTAAGTGTTGACACGGGTGGAATTTGAGTCATGCCATGTGGGTGAATCCTCAACACCTCCGCCGTGGTCGCTGCTCACACGCTAACCCTGGACTTGCATGTCTGCGGATGACTCCTTACCTGTATCTCATCTATGCTTTTCTTCTCAGTGAGTGAAGGGTGTCCAGCCCCCATGGCTCTGTATCAACAAAAGAAGTGTATGGCGTGTGTGGGTCTTAGCCAAAAGGAGCGGCAACAAGAGACGCTGCGTTGCTGGCATTCTCAAAATTCCCTGCTGCAGATGGAGGCAGTGACAGCGGCTAATGGGAGACTTCATTTGAAAAGTGTCAAAAAAACAAACACAGACATACCGCATTCGTTTAGCTCAGTCTCGACAGCATGGAGAGGTTGGCGTTGGTGGGTGTTCCCCTTTCTGCCACTTTAGGTGTGAAGGATGTCGTTTTGGTGAAGATGCTGAACACATTCCATCTGGTTTATTCTCTGCGGATGACTGTAATTATCTGACAATGCTGCCCACTAAATGTTTGTACTTTGCTTTGTTGTGTCTCTTTTGTATCATACCTTTGTGTTGTGGAAGATAAATGGTGGGGGGGAACAAACCTGTGTAATCATAGACACACCTCAACGTAAAGCACTCACAACAACACACATGTACCGCACAAAATGTACCAAACAAAATGTACCACACAAAATCATGCATTATGTAGAATACTGAACATTTCTAACTCACAACAAAGTCATTGTTTCATCTTTAGTTGCTGTGTATATTCAGAATTTAATGTTCTGGGTATAATCTAAATACTAAATGATTTTTTTCTTCAGGTTGAATCTTCATAAAGCCCAGAGAGGGGTCTCCAGGGGGTCTTCCTAGAGATACATCATCAACATTACTACATTTGAACAATGAGGTATGTTTTCCTCTATTCTTATTCTGCAATCATGTGAATGAATAGTATTGTGCATTTGAATGAAATATGTCATTATTTGAAGTGCTTCTAAAACATGTGAAAACGCACCATACTGTAAGTGTGTTTTGTGAATCATACACCTCTGTAAGTAATTCTGTAAAAGAAAAATCTTATTTCATTAAGCTGCACATACTGCAGCTATTTTGGACTCTGCTGCATTCTTACCTGAGGTGCTCACTCTGTGCCAGACCAACCAGAGAGGAAAATAGACACACATACGTAAACGAAGCTAGCAGAGGTATAATTAAAGTTATTAAGTGAAGAGTTGAAGCTCGGGTGAACAGCATCCTGGCAGTGCCAGGGCAGGATCCACAGTGATGTCATTATGTGTCCTCCACATCACATTAATACCTTCACCTTTTTAAGACGATTATGATGCCTGTATTTGTAAAGACACTACTTTAACACTTAATTTTCCAAAACTAAAACTTTATCCTGGCCATCGTTGTGTTCCAGATGTATTAAAGTCAGTGTAGCAAAGCAAACAAAGGCCCAATCAGGAGTAAGACAGGTGACGTCTCACTCGTAGCACAATCAACTTCAAGAAGTACAGTCAGGCATTAGCCATTACCTGCTAATATGATGTGTTAGTTGTTCACCACATCCACATTTTGTTTTGACCACAGAATCTCCCTCCAGATTTTCAATGTATCTTATTTCAACACTATCTTTCCAGTTTTTAAGTGCATGACAAATATTTCCAAAGGGCCAAACTTCTGTTGTGTCCTTAGGCAAGACACTTCACCCCCATTAGAATGAGTCAGGTGTGTGTGTGTGAATGGTGGTGGGAGGGGTTGACGGCACAGACTGGTTGCCTCGCTTCTGTCAGTTTGCCCCAGGGCAGCTATGGCTACAGTGGTATTTAAGCAACCACTGTGTATGGAGTGAAAGAATAATGACGTGTGAAGCGCTAAATAAAACCAATGCATTATTATTATTATTATTATTATTATTATTATTATTATTATATTCTCCCAGGTGGATATCTGGGGCTCCTCCCGAGTTGACCCCCGTCCCAAGAATACTAAAAACCCACTCTAATGGGTTTGACTCAAGTAAGAATGAAATATAGAAAATTCATGGGGTTGCAGTTCGTGCTTCAGTGTAAAAAGTTTCTGAAAGAGTCTTTCTGTCTTTCACTCATCTCCAACATGAATGACAGGTCCGGCATGTGCGTCCTGTGTGCAGGTGACCCCACATAAAAATACCCACCACAATTGAATATCGCTGTGTGAATCTGACTCAGAACTCTGAACATTTGGGCGACCTTAGTCTGTAATAATGCACAGTATAAATAAATAATGACTTACTTACTT